CCTTTTGAAAAAACTCAATCAATAAAACTATCCTTTATAGTTCAATAGTTTCCATAGCCATCTTTTGAGCAACTATTGATCAAGTTCAATAGTTTCCATTATAATCAACCCATCTTTTGCTTGCTTCAATAGTCCAATCCCCATAAAACCACCAATTTTTTCCACGCCAAGCTCAACTCAGGTCCACGGACCAAGGCTTCACAATCCGTCAGCTGCAGGAAAGCACCCGCCAGAGGACCTTTGGCCTCGGCCCGGACGGAGAAACGAGGGAGGGCCGGGGCAAGGGAGAATCAGATCACTTCTGATACACAAAAAAAACAATAAAAAGCAGTATCCTTCAGCATCTCCAACTATGTACAGATGTATTATAATATGGACATAGACACATGGTTTTTGGTTTGTATCCATGTTGTATATATAAAGATAGGTATGCATATGTGTATTATATATATATGATATATGTATGTATATTTATAATATATATATATATATAATATAATATAATATATATATGGGGCTGGGCAACTATAATATACCCGGTTCATACTCTATGAAAATGGAAAATAACCTATAGCAACCCCTTAAAGATGTACATTTGGCCAAAAAAAACCAAGTACACAATAGTGGTAAATCTACGCTCTACATTTTTGGGTGCTTGAATATCCACAAAACCATGGACCAAATTTTTGGCAGAAAAAAAAAACAATTTTCCAGTATCAACCAGTTGGTTACCATTAACCATTGATTAATCACCATTAGTTACCATTAGTTACCATCAGTTGGTTATGTCCCTCTCTTTGGGCGCTTTTCATGCCCAGGAAGTGGTTGTACCATGGCCAGCAGAAGGTAACAGCTCTTCTCTCCTGTCTTTCAGAGTTTGATAGTTGGATGTACCAACCAACCAACCAACCAACCAACCAACCAGCCAGCCAGCCAACCAACCAACCAACCAACCATATTGCATACATACATTTTTTATCCATACTGCATATTATCCAAAGGCAAATGATTTGAAAAAGATCTGTTTGCTTTTTCGAACTGGGATGATACCGTTCCCAACCAACTGGGGATAGAAAAAAGAACACCGGGATGCACAATGAACTAAAACTAGCACTTAGAACATATCCCACTTTATGCCATTGTTATCCAACATATCCCATACCACTTAGAACTTTTTTTTGTTCCACCTGCGCACAACGGATTGGCCACTTTGGGTCACATCTGTCAATGCTGCCCGAGACAGAGCCGGCTCTGTCTCCTGGATGATGGTACCACTGGTAGCCCCGAAATGGATGATTTGTTTTGATTCAACAAATGGGACTATAATGGACTATAATAGGGATATTTATGGGACTATAATGGGACTATAATGGGACTCACTGTTTTTTATGGGACTATAATAGGGATGGCATTTAACTGATTATATATGGAACATTATAGGACTATAATGGATGTAGAATGGGAAATAGAATTAAGTGAGATTTAATGGGATCTATTGGGATTTAATGGGGTTGGAGGGATACATTAGGGATTTCATTTCATCAGTCGGGAAGTTGGCGGTGATTAGGATAACTAAGTGATAGTCAGGTAACATTGGATATACCTGTGATCACACTGACTACTTTAATGGGATTTGTCATGGGAAAATAATCTCCAAATAGGATCTAATTTGATACCCTAATTGCAACAATATATGTTTTAGGTCTGCCTAAAAATGCTCCGTATACACCCATGCTATGACAAAGCTCATAGGAAAAAATAGTTTCTCAACCATCAATTTGGGGGGTCCAAAAAATGAGACAAATCCAGATGATGTGATCTTAAATAGGGGTTTGTTAAGGAATATAACGATCTTAAGTTTGGGTATTTAGTATTAAGTGGATTTCACTGTCAAAAATGGGGTGTCAATCTAACCCCCTGATTTTTTAGTGATATATATATATATATATATAACATATTATTATATATTAAGCAGCACTCCTTCATGAATAGATCCAGCAAACCAAGGATTTCGTTTGGATGCAATCAAATATGATTACGGGGAAGGGGATGATTCTCCAAGCCAAATGGGGACTGTTCATTGCAATGTTTGGATTACCAGAGGTTATTGCCAAGTGGGACCTCAGGTTGTTGGCCAAGTTGGCAAACCTTTTAAAACTCCGTTAAGTATACGGTTTATGGTAGAAATATATATATACGTATGTATTTATGCTTATATAATTAATTATGTATTGACATTGAGGTATTGAGGTTTATAAACCAACTTATATGTTGGTTTTCCAATGCCCACTTGGGTTGGGGGAGAATTCAACCGGTTAAATACGCAACCGTACACCATGAGCCTTTTTTCGTTCTGTAGCTATGGTTCTTGCCATTCTCACCTGTGATTGGTTCTATCCCCAGTGTTTGACTAGGCAAAACCATGGGTCCGTCTGAAAATGGGGCATACCAGTCACATCGCCATTTTTCGGGAATAATATGATGATACATCTTCAACTCTTGGGGTACCCTATTGTCATTTCTTGGAATCATTGATGGTGTAAAGATTTATTTCCGTGCACAATCATCTATGTTGGCCGTAACCTGGCCATATCTCATGATTGCTGAACAGAACATACCCTTTCTTTATCTTTCTTTTGGGTCCCCGGAGATTTTTTTTTGCGGACTGGGCTACCACCTGGCAGAGGATCATTCCGCAAGTTGCTACATCAACGTTCAAACATCGCACCGCACGGATGTCATTAATGTACGGACTGAAGATGTTTAAATTTCCATACAAATCAACAAATCAGATTTTTTTCGGCCCGCCAGTGATGTGAATGCTGGTTTTGAAACCCATTAACTCAACGTTTAAGTTCGTCATATCCTCCATGCCTTCCCAACGTTCACCAAGTTCCGTCTGTCAACTTTGCTATCGTTCAAATATGTTCAAATTCCTACAGGATGGTGCCCCCAAGTGATGTGAATGTTGGTTTATAAACCCCATGAATACTAGTTCGTTATATTTACCATAAACCATAGAAATTCAGCCACAACCATAAGGCAACTTAGCACGCTATCGATTTAGCGGGCCCATCCTGATGCCTTCAATCACCATTTTCCCATGCTTTCGCCTGCCTCAACACTCATCAAGCTCATCTCCAGCGCCAATCGCATTTCGGCTTCCTCCACGTTGGTGGCTTCAGCGGTTGAAAAAATCGCTGATTTTCACCAGCAAATCATATGAAAACCATTGAAAACCCATAGTTTTACAAGGAAACAACGGGGGTGTCAACTCAAGGAATGGGTTTTTCTCATCAGAAAATGCTGGATTCATCAAGAAACATCATCAGCACTTGGAATTGAACGGAATTCCAATACCCATAGGATCCATGGTGCTGGTATATATGCTAACATTTGGGGTATATTGATGGTAAATGTTACCATATATAGCAGCACCATGGATCCGTCATGGGTAGGCCCTTCACCAGAAAATTCTGGGATCTTGTTGATCTTATCAAGAAAACCACGGATCTAAATGATCTAACCAACCAGATTATGGTTTCAGACAAAATGGATTTGACCAACATTCGGAATGGTGACAAAAAGGGCAACAAAAAAACGCGAAAAATGACCCAGAGATTCACAGCGGTTTAATCAACGGGAAGATTTGACCGGCTGAGACGGAAGACAACAGCGAAAGATATGGAAAGATTAAGATTTGTAGAATTACCCTCTGGTGAACTAACATAGCCATGGGAAATGGCCCATTTATAGATGGTTTACCTATTAAAAATGGTGATTTTCCATAGTTACGTTAGTTTACCAGAGGGTTAAAAAAAAATGTCAACAACAGAAATCTGTGGCTTTCACCTGGCGAATGCAGAACCAAGCACCAAGCAAAAAGCAGGAAAATGATGAAAATGGGGCGCGGCAGGCCCATTTCGAAGTCCATGGCTTGGAGGATCGTCCCAGTAGCTTGTTCTAACCATAGTCACTTCACCCGGTTAAATTACCCTCTGGTAAACTAACGTAACTATGGAAAATCACCATTTTTAATGGGTAAATCCACTATAAATGGCCATTTTCAATAGCTATGTTAGTTTACCAGAGGGTATGTTAAATTCATGGGAGAACCCTGCGAATCGAAGACTTCCAAACAAGGGACGATTCGTGGGATGGTCATCCATTTAAGTGTGCAAAGTGATTGACTGATTGACTGTGTTTCAATGTACCCTTCGGTAATTTTCACATAGCCATGGGAAAATTGTCCATTTACATGATGATATACCTATGAAAAACATGGTGATATTCCATAGCTATGTTAAATTGCCAGAGGGTATAGATTGATGTAGAATGATGTACCCTCTGGCATTTCAACATGGCTTGCTGGAGAAAAAAAGACACTTTTGTACCGGGGAGTTCCCCGGCTAGCCATGTTTGACCGCCAGAGGGACCAGAGGGACCAGCTTGAACATCCAATCACCATCACGGCTGCGACACTTTTTGACATTGCCCTATAAAACCACTCCGGTGGTTCTTCCACCAACACGTTTCCTGCTTGGTGACTTTAAATTTACCACATAGCCATGGAAAATCACCATTTTCAATAGGTAAACCATCTATAAATGGGCCATTTCCCACGGCTATGTTAAATAACCAGAGGGTATACTAAACTCCCAGTGTCAATTGTATGGTAACAAATATATGATGTCATCTTCCCTACTTTTCACCATGGTTTCTCTGGAGTGTTCTTGATGTGAACGAGGGAAGGGATTCTTGATCATCACTCGAGGTCGTTATGACAAATTTCAAAGGGAAGATGGTGAATGTGATGATCAACTATAGTGGATTTGGGGTACCCTATTAAACATATCTATTGTATCTATTGTGGATCTCATCTCCGGCAAGAATTGAATGATATTGAATAGACATATGTATAACTTAACAATACTTAACATATGTACTTAACATATGTATTATGCACATTTATGTACTGTATATGAATAGAAAAACAATTCGAAACCACCAAGCAGTGAGGTGTTTGGGAGTACCGACAGGGCTCTCAGGTACCTTCAGGTACCTACCTGTGAAGGAGCCACTTGCACCACCTCGGGCGGTGTTTGGGAGCTCCGACAGCTCGGAATGGCGCCATCATCAGGGGAACAACTCTGCGCGAGGCCAACGAATAACCAAGTGCCAAGAAGCAAAATCACCAGCAAAAGACTGTGAAAGCCAGGGACTTCGCATCCTTCATAGCAGTTCTTCTGAGCGGCATATCCACAAATAGGTTCCAAGATTGCAGCAACCAAGAGGGCCACGCTTCCAAAGATTGTCCCCAAAAACTTCATCATGTTTGTGCCCGCGAGGCTCTTGTTGACATGGTCCACATAGGCCGCGCGGAGAAAGGAGACGGCACAAGTACCAGAGATGGCGCTGAGAAATGCCAGGGTTGACAGCAAATGATCACGGGATATTGCAGCTCCCACAAAGGCTGCGAGAATCAGTAGGAGGCTGAAGACATGGAAGATCATTCTCAGAGAATTCTGTGACATCTTGAAACGACCCATGACTGGCATGGCGATGCTTTCCATAAGGCAACAGCAGTTCAAGAGCAACGAGGCCCACGAAGCCACCATGAAAAGCCTGGAGATGATCGTTGTGAGCTTGGAGCTCCCCACAGGTTCCACGGCCATAATCAGGGTGGCAACACCATAAAGACCATATCCCGCAGATCCAAAGAAAAAGAAGAGGATGTGCAGAAGATCTGACACAGTTTTCTTCTCGCGTCGCACTGCTTTGAAGATCAAGACAAGGAGGAGCATGAACTGGATTCCGGCACCGAGAAGAAATACGATTGGTGGCTGCTGGTGCGCATTGGGAGTTTCTGTTGGATCAGGGATTGTGACTTTCATTCCCTTCGAAGTCGTTTTGATGCATGCCATGTTGGTGAAACGGTGAAGCTTGACCTTGAAGAATCAGAGTCTTGGACTGTGATTAAGCAAAATGGCTAAAACATGCCATAGATTCCATAGATGGGTATAGCTTTGTGAAATTCTATTCAATTTCCTCTTCATCTGGGCAAACTGAAATCATCGCGAAATCTCAAGAATTCATCCATGTTTGGATTTTTCTCCAAAAAAAACATCACTTGCCAGTGAGCTCGTTGTTGGTTCTTCCGTGGACACCGCAACGTCAGGTTCCAAAAAAAGGGGCCCACGGACCTGGCTGTCATACCTGGAAATGGTTGTGTCAAATTGGGAAATGATTTTCGAAACCATCAATTTTTGGGCAATGTTGACCTTTCAAGACAAATGCAGGGGCTGGTTTGGTGTATTGTCTATTTGTTTAAAGGTCATCTACCTATTGGTTGTTGAATGGGGGGAAATTCTCTCTTCGTAAAGCAACCAGTAGGATTTCAGGACATCTATGTCAACAGGAGTATGGGACATTGCAGTTATTTCTGGCTATCAATGTGATATTATGGAGGTTTCCTAAGTCATGGGACATCCATGACTTGGATCATGTTGCGGTGAGCCGTTTTAGGACACCTCCATGGTTGCCCTCTGGTCATTTAACCGTTTGCTATTGGGAATGTCCCATATTTTTCCTTCGTTGATTTACCTATTAAAAAATGGGTGATTTTCATTGATTTTCCATAGCTGAGAAAAGAGAGTCATAACATCCACATGTTCAGAACATCTACGGTATCATCCCATGATCTGCCGAGTACTTCCATATATTACGATGGAGTGTTTGATTGTCAGTTGGGATGATGACATTCCCAACTGAATGGAAAAATAAAAAAATGTTCCGAACCCAACCAGACATATATATAATATATTATGATATAATCCCATTAGTATTAATGTATATTAATGTTATTGCGGTAAACATCGGTAAACTCTGTTCAGCGCGATGAAAACAGCACCCCAGCCTCCAGCTCATCAGCTTCCAGCGGAAGTTGAGGTCCGGGATGGGCGCCAGGTAACCGCCTGGGGCGGGATGGATCTATGGCTGCCAAGCCTCTTCCAATCCCAAAATATCCCAAATATCGTATATAAATATACATACAGCATGTATATATGAATATATCTAGAATCTTAGAAATATCTATACACTTCTTTTTGACATACACGTATGCAATTCTGTGTAATTAAATGTATAGATATGGGGTGACATTACTTGCACGTACATTCCAATGAAGAGGAAGTGGTTCACGACCATGGCGATACTTTCCCACTGATGTGTTTTCATGTATGGAAATTACCTCGTCAAATATTCGGTGTATCAACCACCATTCCTGGGGTAAATTTCCCAAGATTATTTCGAGGACACAAGAGAGGTTTCAACAATTGAGAACGCCCGAAGCATTGTTTTACCCAGAAACAAGTAATAAATTGGTTGACTTGGCATTGGATATCCCCCAAATCTACTCCTGATCTGCCAGCCTTTGTTGATTCATTTCCAAGTGGCAAATGATGATGGCAAAGCGAAACTCAGGAAATTCAACATCATCTC